AGTCTTAACTATTGTCTTGAAGTACCCATGCTTGGTCCAAAATAACTTCAACTGCCTGTTTAAACTGCATCACAACAATACATAAATTTGGCGTTAAAGATCATCCAAGGTCTTTACCTGATGAGGTGAGTAGGCGTGACTTCCTGCAATGATAAGCAATTTCCTGTTCGCAGTGCTCTGATAGGCTTATGATTGCTGCTAGTTGCTCCTCATCAGATGCATATTCAAAATGCACTTCATATGTATTCACTTCTGGTGATGGCTGGACTCTCGTTAGGTCTGTGTTGTTGTGGTGGATCACCATCCATGTGTTGTCCTCTGGTGCAATGAAAGAAGAATAAGGGAAAGTATGTATTTTTAATTTTCACCTGTATCTGTATTTGTATGTTGTATGTATGCAGGACTGAAAGATGGAGAATAAGGCAGGATGAAAGAGAGAGAGGAAGAGATTGTGCGCCAGGCATGTTGACGGGTGTGTGTTTTGATGTGTGTATCAGCTACCTGTCATGTTGCAGTATAACAGCTGTGGCTTGATGGGTCCGCTGCTGTCCACATCAATGTAATAATACCCCGAAATGTTGCCTTTGTGTTTGTAAGCCTCGCAGGACTGCTCGTATATTGCTGAGGAGAGAGAGACATCCTCGTCATCATCACTGCAGACGTTTAAGTTTGTTTTTCTGTCTATGCAACTGCACAGTGGTTGCTCATTTCGTTTTTCAGCATCTGATCTTGTTCAACATATTGCAAGTAACTTAAGATTTTTTTTACAATGTAGATGCAGAGGGACCAACTCTTCTCCACTGGATTATCTGTTTAGCTACATTTTACCATTTAATACACTCATCACTTTAATAGGTGCACCTGTGCAACTGCTGGTTAATGAATATGTTAAATTACTTCATCATATGGTTCCAACTCAATGCATGTAAGCATGTAGACATGGTCAAAACTATCTCATAAAGTTAACTATATACTATATAGATCGCCAGCCCACTTACTATTTAATTTAATGCACTAGTATTTTTTTAATTTATGGAAAACATTATAACTGAGAATAAATGTGACTGACTTTGAACATGACATGATTGTTGGCGATAGAGGGCTGATCTGAGTATTTCAGAAACTGATGATTTTCCCACACAACCTTCTCTAGGGTTTAGAGAGAATGGTCTGAAAATGAGAAAATATCCAGTGAGTAGTAGTTGGGTGAAGATGACTTGGTGATTCCAGAGGTCAGAGAAGAAAGGCCAGGCTGCTTTGAGCTGATAGGAAGTTACCAGTAGAGCTAAGGCATTCAGAGGTGCATGTCACATCTTGACGCAGATGGGCTACAGCAGCAGGAGACCACACTGGGTGCCACTGAGGAAGAACAGGAAACTGAGACTACAATTCACAGCTCACCAAGACTGGACAATAGAAGATTGAGAATCATCAGACTAGAGAACATTTTGTCAAGTCCAACCAGGTACAAAAAAGGTGCACCTAATGGTTGCAAGTGTATCTGTCTATATATCTTCAAGGTTTATTGAATAAAGTTTATGCTATATATCTGATTTAATTTTGCTGGTCTTTTTTTAAAACTCTTATATTAGTGCAAAGCAACAAAAAATGAATTATTGCCTAATAATTGTAATTATTATATTGATATGAATTATAATTGTACTGTTTATACTGGTCAAATTAATGAAAAAAAATGGAAACCTCAATAAAAGCTGAAGATATATTCTCTAAACCCAAATCTATGTCCACAGGTTGGTGCACCTTGATTAACAAAAATTATTCAGCAGCAGATGAATAGATGTGGATATGATATCTTGTGCTCTTGTGCGTGCTTGAAACCACTTGAAAGCATGGAATAAAGCACACTGTGAATGGGTGAATGTAGTGAATGGGTGTAAAGGGCAATTTGAGTGCCCAGTTACAAGAGTGCTACATAAAGCTCTATACAAGCATCAGTCCATTTACCATTTAATTTAATGCACTAGAATCTTGTAATTACCACTTATGGTTTACAGAGGCTGCTGTTGCCACTGCTGAACAAAGACTGCATAGCCATGCTTGTCCTGTAAAATATCCAGTGATTTTCAGTTTTGTTAGATGGTCAAAAAGGAGCACTTTACAAAGCCCCGAAAAGAAGAAAAAAAAATAGCAATGCTTTTGCAAAGGAAATTCATTATTTTGCTAAAAAGAAGCACATGTTACATGCTCGTCTAAGAAACTGCCTCATGGTTTAAACTAAAGTGCTTATAAAGGATGTATTTTCCAATAGAGTTGTGTATCATTTCTTTCATTATTTCTTGTGTGACCTCTAAATCACTCTGTTTTTGTGCTAAGAGTTATCCCATGAGTGCTTACAATCATGACTGCTGGAAAGAAGTTAGATCTCTGCTTGACCTTCTGCCACAAAAATGTCTGAAGGGAAATGAAGTTAAAGCAGCAGGCTGTCTAATTCAGCGGTCCCCAACCTTTTTTGCGCCACGGACCGGTTTATGCCCGACAATATTTTCACGGACCGGCCTTTTAGGTGTCGTGGATAAATACAACAAAATAAAACTAGTACCGGTACCGAAAAAAAGATTTAATCATAACACACGTGAAAAGACCCAGGAAAACCGAGTTAACGATAAAAACAATAACAACGCTGAAAACCGATAAAAACCTGAAAACCATACATTTCACACCTGAGCCTCAACTCTCGCGGCCTGGTACTAAACTACTCACGGACCGGTACCGGTCCGAGGCCCGGGAGTTGGGGACCACTGGTCTAATTAACGGAAACTCACAAACACGAGTTGAAATAAAGATCTGTGACCTTTGAACGACACCACTCAAAAAACCATCATGGCCTTACAGCTGTGACAAGTGGCTCCGCTGTACCCGGTCCCAGTGCAGTTACAGTGGAAGGTGCTCCATGACTGACTGCAGCTGCCTCCATGTTCACAGTGGCTGGGGGAACATCTGAGAGAGAGACAGGAAAGAAAGCACACGTCTCCATATCTATGTAACTTTGTTGCAGGGGAAGTACTTAATGAACTGCTTTATGACACAAATCATTCTGTGTTATTGGTCTTCAGCTTAATGCATCAGTTATTCGGTGAGGCAATTGCTTTAAAATACCCCATCGTCATGAGAGAACAGTGCAAGTAGCTCTCGATGCCCAGTTTGGTGGAGAAAGGGAGAGAATGCATCAGTTCTGGGGTTCAAGTTCTTATTAAAACTTGTTTGCTTAGTCTCAAAGACAATAACTGAAGACAAAAGATGGGTACTCCGGCTCCCTCCCACAGTCCAAAGACATGCAAGTTTGTGGGGATAGGTTGATTGAAAAATCTAAATTGCCCATAGGTGTGAATGCGGTAGTGAATGTGAGTGCGAATGGTTGTCTGTCCCTGTGTTAGCCCTGCGACAGACAGGCGACCTGTACAGGGTGTACCCCACCTCTCGCCCTATAACAGCTGGAATAGGCTCCAGCACCCCCCGCGACCCTGAAAAGGATAAGCAGAAGCGAATGGATGGAAGGATGGATGGATGAAGGATTTCATAAATCTATTTATAATAAACTTCACTAGCTGGGCCCACGTCCTCATTTTAGGTTTGACAGTGTTTCAGTAGGTAAAGGTGAATGGCTTGGACATGAATTGAGCTCCAGTTTGGGACTGGTGATGGCTCCCGGGCCTGGCAGATCCCCATGTACAGAATAGAAGTGAAGAAGTTAAAGAATTGAAAAGGAGAGGGGAGGTGGGGCCAGTAAACAAGAATGAACAGCTTGGTGAACTGGGGGAACATAAACAGGTGAGAACCGGAAGGTTAGGAGGGGTGGACCCGCTCCTGAAATTTATCTCCAGTAATGTGTAATAAATTACTTATTTTGAGTAACAGCCCCACTCACTCAAAACAAAGTCTAATGGGCTTGCGTTAAGAATGTTAATATCTGTTCGTAAGATGGACTACAAAATGAGTATCTTACCGCTACTTATTTTAAACTTTTTACCACAACATAAAAATAATGCTATTACAAAAGTTGGAACTTTAAAGATAACATATAGGCGTTCCTGCTGGAAAGTAGCCCAACTCAATTACCCCTCCTTGGTTTGGAGTTTTGTGACCAAAGTTAAATTCACTTTGGTCACTTACCACAGCTGACTCAAAGTGAAAATTAATTCATCATCATTTCCGAGGCATTAGTAAAGACAACTGAACTATAGTGAACTTTAAACACACTTTGATCAATTAGCACACAAACTTGATTTAGAGAGCTCATATAGTTCTTCATGCAGGGGAACATCTGGACAAGAAGCAGATTTTATTACAGCAGCTGCACCAGCTGTGAGTTTGACAGCCTGTTGTTAAAAATTCAAAACATACCAGCAGGTCATGCACATGGAAAGCAAATTTATTATTAATATTTACATGATGTGTGCCACTTTGCCTATCAAGTTGATATTTTTAATAAATGGTTGGATGGCGCCTCATTTTGACATCTAGGATGGAATGATCTCCTCTCCTTGCATAAGAAGATGGTCAATAAAGACAGTGGAAAAAAAACAAAACTATACACACATAGAAACACAAAAAACCCAACTTGTGTAAAAATCTAAAACAACAAATATATTACAAAACCCAGTGACAGGTGGAGGGGTTGAAACATTAGACAGCAAAGCAGACTGGTGCCAGTTGTACAGAAATAGACCACTAAATTAGAAGGTTTGGTTTGCTATTTGTATGTGCAGGTGTGTGTATGATACACATAACACGCCTATGCCAATATCTCAGCTTCTGCGACAGTTTTCTTTACATAAATATTACCTTTTTAAAAATAACCACACTGGAGGCAAATGATTATTAACTAAGAGTCTATGAAAGCCCACTGCTGGATAAACCTTGTTCTTAACCACTGTTATGTTTCCTTAAAAAGTCCAGGGGGGTATTTAAACTAAAGAAGTTCCATCAAAATAGAGGAGAAGTGTCACGGCTTGCCAACAAAGGACCCAAGATGCGGATATGGAGTGAAGTGAGAGGGCTTTATTGACACAGAACCCGAGTGACAACAAACAAAAGGAGAGTGTGACGAAAAACCGAACTTAGACATAAACTACACTGGGAAAACTAAAACCTAAACAACAAACCTGAACACGAGGGAAAGCGACTTGCAGGGAGATTCACAGACAAGAAAACACCAAATAACACAGACGAACCAGCAACAGGCAGGAGAACACACAGGGCTTAAACACACACAGGAGGGAAGCACACCTGGGTGAAATCACAACTGACGAGGCAGGGGAAACGTAAAGTGAACACACTCACATAAGACAAGGACCTTCAGAATAAAACAGGAAACTAACAGACACAGAGAACCAGACAAGACACTGAACTGAACAGACAGACTCACAAGCAGACACAGTGACACCATAGACAGACAGAGGGAACACAGAGAAGTGGGAGCAGGCAGGCACAAAACAAAACCCTAACGAATGGCAAACCGAACCCAAAGACATCACAGAATAAACAAGAACACAGAATATTATAAAGAAACACAGAGCACTGAGTCGTCGGACTCAGGACCATGATAAGAAGACAATAAAACTGTAAGTTTGTTGCCAAACAAAACAGTAAGTCAAAGACAAAATGACTCAAGCACCCTACTCTCCACTGAGTGGGATGAATCGGTGCCAAACACAGCTCACAAGCAAAAGCTACAAACGCTCTCAGAGCTGGAGCGCCCCCCCAGGTCTTTAATACTGTGGCCTAATTGCTGAGTAAAATCAGCTGCACAGGAGGGTGGCACTTAAGGCCAGAGGGCGAGTAAGACACCCTCATGCAGAATAAATCACCACAGGCCCTGCTTGTGCTGTATGGACCTCACATATTAAATACTGCAAAACCAGATTAATCATCCACAAGAAGTGATGTTTAAATTCAGCACAGCCATCACAAAACCTCCTATTTATGGATGCAAACAGAACCATCAGTATGCCGAGCAAATGCCACCTCAAGTTGCTAAAATATTTCATGCCTTTTAATGTGAGTGTGTGTTAAATAAAGTAATTGCACCTAATGCATTGTGATTTTACTTGGATGAGGCCTAGGCAGCTTCAAGCATGAGAGTCAAGCCTGACCTAAGTGGAAAATATAGAATTATAAGATTGAAAGGAAACTTGCAGATTTACAGTACACTGTTGTATGTGTGAGAATAATACATCACTGGACAAAAGTACCTGAATTTTCACAGCAATTCGTGTCAAAATTACACACCATAGAACAAGTCTGAGAAAACTGTGCTGCTGTTAACTTTTTCCTCCTCGGTCTTCCTGTGTAAAACACGGAAAACAGCAAAGCGGATGACTGGAGGAAAAGAAGCGGAACAGCAGAAACAGCGAGAGGAAAAGAAGAACACGGAGAGAAAGGAAAGGGGAAATAAAGTTTGGGGTGTGCTGAAAAAGAGGAATGTGCAACAAAGGGAACGAAGGTTGGATGAATAGAGCGGTGAATGAGTACGTAAATATATTTGGAAGGGGAAATGAGGTCAGCAAATTGTGACTGCGGAGAGTGAAAAAGAAGGGGAGGGAGAGCAGCATGTATTTTTAATCTTTTAGTCAGGGGGAAATTTGCTGTTAGAAAAAGACTTACTCAGCAGCCCTGTCAGATGGTAAAGTTAGTTTTTTTCAACACCCAATTTCTTTGCTTCTTTTCTTCTCAAAGTATGTTGGCATGAAGCCAGTTGCAGCACTCCACCACTTTAAATATTTGCATTTATCATTCTTTTTTTATACATTTTTCAATCAAGCCTGAGAGTCCACTGATACATTTGGTATGCATATGATCAATCAAGCACCACTTATTTCAACAAAAGCGTGCTGTGGGTTGGAGGTGAGGGGTTGGAGAAGTGTAAATCAATTTTTCAAGTTGACATTTTATTGAAACAAAAGCTGCTCTGTGGGTAATATGTGTGCCATTCACCAGTGGGCTCTAATGATTTGGAAAAAGGTCTAATGTCATGTTCTGAGAGCAATATGTTATTGCTCACACACAGCACAACATTAAACTCACACAGTGGAGCTTAACTTGACATTTTCGGCAGTATGGAAAGAGAAAATAGACATATTAGTGGCTGCAGTTGCTCGACTATTTTAAGATATGGAAATCCCAGAAACATCGATTCTGTCAGACGGTAAAAAAGGATTTTTCAGCTACAGCGTTTTAGTCCCCAGCATGTATGCATACATGGTGCTGGTGTCCTTATAAAATGTTATACTGTCAATACAAAGCACAGCGCCAGATGCAGAGCACAGCCACGCAGATAACAACTGGAAGAGCAGGAATGAAGAGGCAGCAATCAGGAAACTTGAAAAAAAGTTTAATCAGCACGCTGCTGAACACTAATTGCTTCGGTGTGTGTGTGTGAACGCCTCCAGGTTTATTTTCCTCATACCAGTTGAAACAGAGACAAGCTACATGAAAAAATTATGACGTCTTCTTAGCCAGAACACATTTCGGGAAACATTGACGCATATTGCGTTTGTATCAGATTCACTGTTGCCTAATAATCCACATGCGACCCCATTTCACAAAAAGGCTTCAGAGGGAGATTAAGAAGGTTTACAAAGCAAGCGTGAAAACAAAATCAAACATTTTAATGCCAGTGAATCCTCTTTTCTGACAATCCTCGTTAATACAACAAATGCATTACATAGAATAATGCGTTTCTTTTCCTGGACAAATGGAGAGACGGACATAAGCAATACCCAATACACGGCATTTACGTAAATCAGTGTCGCAAACGGCCCCTTTAGGTCTTACCTGTCAATAATGCCGCACATATCGATTTGCAGGTGACTGTAGTTTCCGATCAGCCTCTGCTGCACCTTGATCAGGTCCAATGGCCGGTTGTCCACAGTCAGTAGACGCATGCATCCATGGAAAGCTTTGAAGGGGTTCAAACACTCCTGGCTATTTTCTTCAGCAGGACAACCTGGACAGAAGAGAAAACATCAATCAGTAAATGAAACACAGGAGAAATCAAGCCATCATTCTACCATACCACCATTATTGTAGGGTCTCTAACTTGCAATATAAAGCTGTTGTTGTGATTTGGCGCTATATAAATAAAACTAAACTGAATGCATTGCGTTGCAAGATTCGATTATATAGACAAAGATGAATGATGATGCATGTGTTTTATCGTTCATTTCTCGCTTACCACCAAAGAATATATGACCTCCTGTGGTAATTAAAAATGAGGGGCTCGCGTGAGCACTGGCTCCTTCATCACCATCCACTGTGATGGTCAGACGTCCTCCTCCTGATATCAAGTCCACAGAGTGCCACTGACCATCATTCAGAGCTGAACCTGAAGAGCCACACATATATGTATATATATAAGTGTTTTTATCTTAATATCATGTTTCAATTCTAATTTGTTGAAAATGGAAAAATAGAAGATGGTTCTTGCTCAGGAATCTTTAAGTGTATGATATTATACCTTGTAACATAAGAACTCCCAACAATGATAGAAGAATAATTTTGCACTTTCTCAAATGCCACACAGCCTATAACAGGACATAATTTCATTCAGTTCTATTCTCACTGCTGGAAGTAGTTTCTAATAGGAAATGGTGACACTTGGAAAAATCATGCAAGCATACAAAAAGAAGCATACCTAAAAAATACCTGTGTAATTCTCACATTTGAACACTCAGCCATCAAACAGACTTCATACTATCAATCAATCAATCAATCAATCTTTATTTATAAAGCACTTTTCATACAGCAATGTAGCACAAAGTGCTTTACATGATTAAAAGCAGCCCACCCCACCTCGCCCTCCAACTCACTCCCCACACTCTCATTAACATAAACAATCATGGATACACACACACACACCCCCCACACACACACGCACTTAAAAAGTAAAATTGGGCTGGACAGACATGAGCCCGGTGATTACAGACTAATTATGGTTTAGTTTGGACATCTGTCATGTTTGGGAGTCAGTTTTAACTACAAAAATGTCTTTCTGAAGCTGGTCAGGATTTTGTATCTTGATCAGTAAATTTGGATGTTTGGATGATATCAGCTTGCTGCCTTCCAGTGTTTTGGGCTCAAAACAGAAATTTTATATCACGATTTTTGATACTGAATTTCTAACATTAAGCTCCTTTTTTAGATCACGGCTTTAAATTAGTCCAGTTAGTAAGTGCAGGCAGGATGGAGGCGGGCAGACTGACCTGCGTTGAGCTCCAGGGGTGCCCTGCCAGACTTGTGGATCTGTAAATGTGTTCTGGCTTTGCTCAGGTAAAGCCAGACTCTGCCTTCTCGATTTGGGAGTTCAAAGGTCAGGAGCAGCCCGGCCTTGTTCCATGTCCGAAACTGAAGTCCCACTGAGATACCCAGTGAGGATTGATCTATCCTTGGTAACCGAAGGAAACTCTGGGGGCCGGTGAACGTCATGGCAACAAAAACGGGTTCAGAACATGAAAAGGTCACATTGCCCTGAGACAGATGGAGAAGAGAAGAGGAGACAGGAAAAGATATGAAATTAGTATAGAAAATAATCATGTCTGAATATAAATTAGTTCCAAGGCTGTCTGGTGCTACCCAAACACACAAAGATGTCATCAGCAATTCTCCTTTAAAAAGCATAGGAGCATTACCGTGATGATTATAGTCAGGCTTAATATAAGCACAGGCAGATCTTAGTGAAGACCAATGTCAGCCAAAAGATTTCTAAGGTCACACCGGGGAGCAGAAGTTTGGAGAGGCAAAAACAGATAGCGAGAGAGTGAGAAGCAGGCTTATAGTTTCGAGAAGTGGTAATTGCAGTAAATCCACCGCTGGGGCAGCAACAGTGACACGTTCCATTCCGTGTCCTCCAATGGGAATACTGGGTTTCTATTTTCAGTTCAGCACAGAGCACACTGACACTTGATCAAATCTAAAAGCTCTTTGTGGGGTAGTCAAAGCAATATAGAGCAATGCAGACTGAAGAGGTGAACGCTAAAGATGGTCAGTTTTCTTGTACATATTGCTGTAGCTGGACGAGATCTAAAAGCCACGCGTACATTTTCATGTGCACAAACACACACACACAAGCAAACAAGGTTAATTGGTGAATTTAAATTGACTGCAGATGTGGACGCAAGGTAAATAAAACAAATAAAGTGCTGCATAAATATATGTAAAGAGGCACTTTGTGACCTGCAGGTATAAGTACTTTGAGTGGTCACTAAAGACTTGAACGGCACTATATAAATGCCAGTGTGTTCTCTTATGTGTTGCATTTGTAGTTTTCCACCGTTTTTACTAAAATATTTGTTTTTTACCCGACTTCATCATTTCAACATCCATTAAAATTGTCTCTACAAAGTGTGTTTGTAGTCAGTTTCAGCATCCATGCTCGTTATAAACAAATATTCCACATTATGAATAGTTAGAGGTTTGTGTAGATAGCAGAAGGGCCTCCAGAATTAATGAGAAAAAAGAAGAAAGTCAAACTTTCCTCTAAAAAACAGGACAAGAAAAATGAGATACACTATGTGCCCATGCTGTCAATATGTATAAAGCATAGACATAAATGTAAGATCACTCTGCTAGTAATGAGTCTAGGAGGTGGATGCCATCCAGCCAAACAGGACTGGCAAGTTGGAAGATGATACTCCCCTCACAGAAGGAGAGAGACTCAAAAGCTATCAGTGTATTAACATCTGGAAGTTTTAATCTCACGGTGTGAGATTCAAAAGCAGCTGGTCAGGTGAGGTCATCATAAAACCATCACCAAGCATCACCAGAGAAGCTCTAACATGCAATGAAGGAAAGAGAAAGAAAGGACAGTCAAGAAACACCTGGACAGAGACCTCCAGGCAGACATCAAGAGGACAGAACTTACCTGGAGTTTAGATTGACTAGATGTTGGTCTGAGGTGCCATTTTTATTATAATAGACGCCTGACAGAAAATATTTAATATGCAGAGAGATACATTGAACTATATTGAACTTTTTAAAACTAAATTAATTCCTAATCACATTTTTACATGCATTTAAATACATGAATATTGTGACATTATTTTTTACATCTGGCCCTTTAAGAATTATTTATCTGTTTATTGTTTAAATCAAGTAGTTTTACTTATAACTAGGTAGTTCTACTTTGACTCCTGTCTACACATTGTGAAAGATACACAAAATAGCTTTTTCAGCAGCACACTGTGAGCAAGTTTACCTTCACTGTAACCCGCTGGTCTTTTTGTTTAGCGAGGTCTACCAGGTGCAGGCCATTGTAAACTGGGTTTTCCAGACAGCCATAGAATGACGTATAGCTGAAGCCCTGCTGTGCTCCCAGTATCATCTGTACAGGAGACAGAGTACACAAACAAGCAGATACAATAAAATGTCTGCAGCTGCGAGATTTGTGTCTTTCTGCCATCTGTCTTTTCATGAGTTATCATCCTATCCTCAAATACATACCTGATCATGGTCCCAATGTGCAAATGTTGGTGAGATGTGCACCCACTCTGTGCTTTTGTCCACTGTGAGCTTGAGGTGATTGCTGTGATGCTCCACTGCAACGTGATGCCAGTGCTGGTCGTCTAGCAGGCTGCCCAGAGTCACAAGATACCGGCTGTCAGGAGACAAACTTTTTCCTGGCGCGTGGGAGGAAGACGAAGAATGACACGATCATGTAGTAACAGTGGTTAAAAGAGAGAACGCTCGAATCTTAAAACGTTTTTCTTTACTGATGGCGATAAGTATTACATCACTGACTTTTCTTTCTGCAGGCCGTCAGGATCTTTTCCATGTAGAAACTATTTATTTTAATTCAGTTTTCCTCCAAATTATTTCTGCAGTGAAAGAATTTGACTCTGACATATTTATTTCTAACTGCACAGCAGGAGCTATCGCTTCTCCTCCTCCTCCTCTCTGGAAATGAAGTTTCAAATTTCTCATCATCTTGAACTCCCCGCTGTTTTCTAGGTCTCTGAAGTGGTGCCACGGTGTCACAGTTTTCTGCTGGGGTTTATATCTTGGAAACAAAACCAAGGCTAGGTCTACATTTCAGAAAGAACCAGAAAACGCAGATGGCGAAACATTCAGTAATTAACACTAAACGGGGTAGAGAAAAAGAGAAAGAGAGGTAGATGGGTATAACAAAAATGTCCAGTGAAATGCTTCTGATTCTTTCTACTCCCCAAAGTGTCAGCAGAGTGAAGCACTTTCACTGAGTGATGGGGGAGCTAAATGCACTCTGTCATTAAATATGAATTAGATATTGTTTGAAAGGAGACTATGTCTGTGTGGGGAAAGAAAGAATGAGTGAATGAGAAAGGGAGACAGACTGGGGCCAAGTTCACTGTGTTCTGTCATCAATCATAATTGATCTGTCAAACAGATAGTTGGC